TTATTTGTTACTTCATGACAAAAGAAATTATTCATAGTAAACTAGTGTATAAAGTAATTGTATTTTTGCCTCATAATATTTTAGAAGCAGAAAAAATAATTAAATTATTTCTATTTAAATAAATTGGAATTCTTCAAAAATAGATTGGAAAACCTTGAAGTGAGGGAATTCCACAAGGTTTCAGTAGACATCTTGCTTTTACTGCTATTTTTTCCAGTACTGCTTTTTCTGATATAATACGAAATATCTCCAGTTATCTTGATATATATCGTTTGTATTGTTTATAATTGTATAACCAGCATTGTAAGTTATATCTGCTTTCCACGAAGCTGGATTTCCATGTGCCACCGTTAAGTATATTTCAGTTACCCTCTAAAAGGTTTTGTAGATATTTTGCTTCCTCGGAAACGTTGAGGACCTACGCCGAAACGTAAGGACTGCCCTTGCTAATCCTGAGGCAGGTAGTGTACTGAGTACTCTCTGTGCATGATTTATGGTTCATGACCTGTAGAACCTTTGGTCTTTGTTAGGGTATTATTTAGCAGGCATTGGGTGACTTCGCCAGGTAGTGAGCGACTCGTTTCTGCACGGGATTTGTTAAACTTAGGGGTATTTGCACTATTTATTGTCTCCCAGGAAGGACAAAGGAGGGTACATTTCCAGGAAAGAAATTGTAAAGTCGCCATTTAAATATTCAGTACTTATTTACTTACTCTGCTGTCTCTTTCTTAGAACTTGAGCATCTGCTTTCCATGAAGCTCGACTCCCATGGGCCACCATTATTTTCATCTCTTTGTAGTGAAATTTGGAAAGCAGTCCTAAGGTGCGTCTATACACTCGCCAAACAGTAGACATTGGTTCATAAGCACAAGCGTATAAAGGAGATATTTGGATTGGCTTGCGTCAAACTGTAGGGGACAGCTAGAAGAATATTTTTATAGGTGAAGTTAGCAGGAAGCGGGGTGGCTGTATGGACTGACACGTGTGCTCAGCACCGCGAGTTGCCCGCGCAACCAGATAGCCGTCAATTCTAAAGAAAATACTTTTTAGTAAGTTATTTTAATTATATTACATTTAAAAAAAAAACGCTGCAAATTATTTCACAATGGTTTATTATTTTCAAACAACTATACATCTAAAGTAACATTACATTCCTAGAATTAAATTTTACCATCCCTCGTAACTTTTATTCCAGCTTATTTTCGTTGAAGTATGTTATATAGATAAATTTAAAGGGCGTCAAGAAAATGACTTTAGCGAAGTTTCATTGAAATTGGTACATTCGTTTAGGAGCTACAGTCTATAGCAACGCAGGTTTTTCGGTAGCCATGTTGAAAGTAAAAGGCGGATAGTAATGTCGATGAAGGAGGATCATCCTCGGATGACCTCTGATTTTATTTCCAAATTTGAAAAAATATCGGTTCAGTATTTTCGAAGAAAATGCGCGGACAGCGGACGAACAAAAAAATTTGTATTCGTTTTTCCAATTCTACGCTCCTGAAATGTGAAACCTCATATTTTGAGAGGGGGTTAAGCTTTTGAATTTTTGATCGATCACAATGGTTGATTATTGAAAATAATAAACCAATGGTTTTTAGTTTGATAATATATAAAGGAATAATAAGTTATTGGTCAAATTAACATAGTATTTATTTATTTGTTTTAGAGGACTTGTTAATACTTTAAATCTTTATATGCGCTATATAATGTTTCGTCCGTTTTCTTGGATTTTTTAAAATTTTGTTTGTCGAATTTTACGTTTTATTAATGCATCATTTATATATATATATATATATATATATATATATATATATATATATATATATATATATATATATATATATATATATATATATGTACATGAAATAATAATATAACATAAAGTACAAGCTTGAAGTCTGCCATGTTTGATTCTCTGTAACGCAAACTCTCAAGTGTGTGCTCACTGAAGGTTTGTTGGCTTGGGCTAGGGTTTTGTAGCACGGTGTTAAACACTATTAACAAAGTATTATGTATTAAATGGTTAAAAAGATTTTGAGTGACAATTAGTATTAAAACGGATAAATAAATTAATATGTTTATTTATCTTTATAAGTTTTTTTATAATATAATGACATATAAACAAAATTTGTTGGGGAGGGGAGGTTAAGTTTTTTAATATTTTGGTTCATTATAATGGCTCATTATTAAAAATAATAAACCAAAAATATTTGGTACATGTTACACATCCACTATTACTGCTCTGATTTCGATTAAACCCTGTTTGTTTTTCACTTTTGAAACACCTGATTATAAAAATCACAAAAAAGGTGTATACTTTTTGAGTTATTCGTAAATATAATTTAACTAGCTCTTGTTACTTTTTGTTTAACTTCTTTTCGATCAAGTATGTTATATAGATAAATTTAAAGGGCTTCAAACGAGGAGACTTTAGCCAAGTTTCATCGAAATTGGTACATTTGTTTAGGCGCTACACTTTAATCTATACGGCACAATTCTTTCGGCCGCCATCTTGAAAGGAAAGGGCGGATAATAATGTCGAGGTGGGAGGACCATCCTCGGGTGACCACTGGCTTTGAATCCAAATTAAAAAAAATCGGGCCAGTAGTCTAAAAAAAAAGCCACGGAAAGCGGACGGACAAATTTTTCTTAATTCGATTTTCGTGTTATACGTATTTTGAGAGTTAAACGTTAACTTCAAATTTTGACTGGAGAGGTAAAGTTTTTCGTCGATTACAATGGTTCATTGCTGAAAATAATTATTGATAAATGCGTTCTTTGAGTTTTAATAAATTAGTTTTAGAAAAATATTATAAAGCCCTGGAATATATTTGTTATATAGTTAGTATAGATGTTTTTAATTTTTTTAAAATATCAAAAAAAAAATCAGTCATAAGAGAAACAAACACTTTTTTTCTATTACAAAATTATGGAATAAACTAATGTAATAGACATTGAAAAAATATATATATCAAAATTGAATAAAAACTTGTCTATATATTCTATTTAGCAAAGTTTAATCTGTCGACGTTAAAGGTTTGTGTACGTTGAAAAAACATCTAACAGCATTTAACAATTAAATAAATCATTATGTTTTTTTACAAATTTGCTGTATCGTCGTCACTAGCGGATCCAAGATTTAATTTATGGGGGGGGGGGGCTTCAGCCCGAAAGTTTTTTTTTCATATACATATAACGATAATTAATTTGAAAAAAAAATTAAGAAATTAATTACCTATATGAAATTTTAGTTGCAAATGTACTGGAGAAATACGATTAAAATATTTAGGTAATTGATTTAGTATGTGGTCCAAACTATAGTTAAGAAACTTCTGTGCTTATTAAAGATTTATACGATGATCAGATTAATGGAGTTAATATCTTGAAGAAGTGAGAATGAAGTAATAAGTAGAAAAGGGACAATAATCAAATAGTTGAGCTTGATCGATCCCTAGCAGACCGAATTCGTTAAATAAAATAAGCCATTTGTTGAAAGCTATGCCTTATTGATCTGTGAATGTTAATGACTCAGGCCGTGGGGGGGTCGAATGAGGTTTAAATTATTTAGAAGGCTCGTCGGTTCATGATCAGCTGGTACCTGTTGATTGCTGACCTCACCACGTCCGATTCATCTTAAATTAGTTTATGTCTCTTCCATGGTCCTTCCATCCTCCTTTTGTGTCTCCAAACATATTGTATTTAATGTTTTACTGCTGCGTTGTTGTTTTTTTTATGATACAACCATACTTCACTACATGACTCAGAGTAAAAAAGATACTAAAATATGTTTTTTGGTTATTTATGAATTTTACTACTGTGTCGTTAAATAAAAAGGCAATACAGTTCAATATTAGAGGGTATTTGAAATTTTTAGCCTAATCTACCTTAAGCCGGTTTACATTGCTTTAGTTTATCAAATAAATCGTATTCAAATGTTTTCTTTGATCCATTTTCAGGAAAATAAATCTAATTCAATTTTTTTTTTTTTTTTGTTTCTTTATGGACATATGTAAAGATATGAAAACTTTTCTGAAATAGGTAGGAAAGTCGTGTGAGTGGACATACCACATTTTATTTGTTTTAGAATCTGTAGAACACGATTATTGGGAGATGTCTAATGCAGGTATTTTATTATTTTCTTCTTATAACTATTGGCATCTCCATCGGTCAAATTTGTATCAAATGGGCTTCTGAAATTCCTCATAAATATTTTTTTTTTTTTCAGAACAATTTCTGTATACCACCAAGATGTTTTGTATTTTTACCAAATTTCGCGGTTATTTAAATTTTATAGTTATCTACAGTCCCATTTAAACTTAACGCGTTCAAAATTTTGTATATATAATATAAAGTTGGTTATGGTCTATAGGAGCCTCGGTTTTTTTTTTTTTCTTATTTCCTCACCCTTTTTTGTTTTCTTTTTCATGTTTTTTTTTTTTTTAAAGGCTAGGTACAGGGTGTTAACAGATATTTTTTTGTCTCTCCAGAGAAACAAACATGTCGAAGGTCAGTAATCTTATTTTCCCCACAATAAATAATTTTCACAACAATAATTTTATTGTTGTATAAAAAGAAACAAAAGGTAACAAAATAAAATGAAAGAGGACATAAACCTCATCGAAGGAGATGGTTAATGAAGCCTAGAGAAACTATCCATTTCCACATTCGTGATGCTCATAGTTTGTGAAATGTGTAAACTTACTTTGAAGTTTTTCGTTGTTAATGTATGTAGCTTATACCCCAGACTTCTTAGGCATCGGTGTGCGATGGTTTGCACACATTTTTGGCCAAATTGCGATGCGATGTTTTTCAGCAGCTTTCGTTGTTGGTAGGGGGAAGGAAAGGGCATCTGTTTTGTAAAAAGTCAGTTTTCATTGCAAGCTTGTTTTGATAAACGCAAACTCCCGATGATTTGTCGATAAGTTTAAAATAAATTATCCCAATTAAGATAATTTTAACTTTGAACTGTTGACTTTTTAACACATTTGTCGTGTTTTCAGGTCGACCATCTCCAAACAGATGCGGAAAATCAAAAAGCCCATCCAAGGATGAAGGGACAAATCGGAATTCTAATGAGCTGCATTTCCTGCCCCTCCAACCAGGTACTGTCCTTGCTCTTTGCTGTAGCTTAGCAGTATCTTGGTCGAATTTTACCATAGCTTAATTTAATTTCGGACCTTATATCACTTGTGTTCTTAATATTAACAAATTCGAACTATTGTGTCTCAATGGAAGCCTTTAGAGACATTTCTTTTTCCAGAAGCAGTTTAATCACAATTCGTCTGAAATTGCCTTTGGAAGAAATTCTTTCATGTTGATCAACTCGTGAACACAGCTAAAAATACCTTTTAAACTATACCCTATTGGTAAAATAGTAGACAATAATTAGAAGCAGGTCTGGTCCTTCATATCTCTTTGCTGGTCCCCCTCCCCCCCCCTCTCACGTGATGTAGATATTTACAGGGTGTCTCCCGGGGGAAGAGTCAGTAATTGAGGGAGTGATAGTCTGTCTAACAAAAAATACTAAAAATAGTAGTTCAGCAATATCGACGTTTGATAGTTACCATAGAACAAATATTTAAATTAAAAATATTTAGGAAGAAAATATTGGTCAAAAAACGTATGTACGTTCAACTTCAGGAGTACCAACTTAAAAGTATTTTTTTCCCTGATATAAGGGGACCAAGAGCCCATCTGTCCCTCTTACCCTAACCCTACGTTCACAAAAAACTGAGCGGCTTGATGGTGATGCACGCGTTTATTTCTCTAAGAACATAATTTTGAAAAGTTTCTTTACTAGTTCTAATTTCTACCAAAACATTCATGACGATATTATTATTACTTTAATAATAGCTATAATATTTTTCCATATTATTTTGCTATGTAGCTACACCTAGATGAGCATTTCATTTATTCAGATGATTTTTCCTTCCTTTGGATTATAAAACATTTTTTTATTTTTATTATTTTTTTGTCTTATGCCTTGGCTGTCTTGGGTTGTAAATTTCACCTTCAGTCCTGGCTTTAGTTATATATATATATATATATATATATATATATATATATATATATATATTATTAATCTCGCCTTGTTGATGTTTTCATTTCTATCGTGTGTTCTAAAGCACACACCTTTGCTTTTTTTTTTTTTTGTTTTGTTTTTTATATCTACATAAAATCCAAATCACAGTTTGAAAGTAAGTTTTTGCAATGTAGCCGTCGAATATGATATTAAATGATCCATGTAACATTTTTCTTTAATCCATAAAATAAAGGAAACTTGTTAAATCCGTGTGGAGTAATTTGATTCATGACATAATAATGAGTATAAAGGATTGGATTGGTGGGATTACAATAATCTCTTTGCTACTGTGAAAAAAACAAAACAAGCGAGTGCAGATTAGCATTTTTGTTTTAATTACAATATAATGAATCATCGAGCGAATATATGATCCAGCAATATGAATTCTCGTCTTGTGTTAAGAGTGCGTAGGAAGCACGGGCGGATCAAGGGAAAGGGAGGGTGGTGGGGGCTTTCGGGCTGAAGCCCCCCTCCTTCCCAAAATGGTAAATGTAACCATGTTTTATGGAAAAAATATTTAAAATTTATCTCTTAAAGTATTATTCTTCGTATAATTACATATAATGGAACTTTAGGAATCACTTAAAAACATTTCATTTAGGTAGTTAGTATCTGTATTTTTTTTTTCAAAATAATTATGGTTTTATATATATGAAAAAACAAAAGCTGTCGGTCTGAAGCCTCCCTCCCCCAAAGTTAAATCCTGCATTCTTCGGTGGTAGGAAGAATACTCTACTTGTGCATATCATTCATGTATTTATGAATATTACCTGATCAATAATGTTATTTTTAAAACCCTTGATTTATCAATTCAATTGATTGAGCTCTCTGTTACCAAACGAATCAGCATCTCAACCGGAGTAGGAAACGAAGTATTTGTTTCATGGCCATTGAAATATCAGTTTTATAAGTTAGTTTCAAAAAGGTGGGATAAATTTTGCTTTTGACTAGGTTTCGACGGTTAGTTCTTCTTTTTGCTCTCTTTCCAGTTTCAATGCTCCAAAATTTTCCATTTTCGAGATAAATCGTAATTCTTGCTGAAAGCATCTTCAGATGGTATGGTTACAATGGCCAATTTATCACGTTTTGTTTATGAATAAAAATGAAAAAAAAAAAAAAAAAAAATTAATGACCGAATCGACTGACGAGAGACCGAATCAAATTACCTTGATAATTTAAGTGGCGCATTTTAATTTTTATTTCACTACAAAATTTCTTTACACCTATATTATTTTTCACTAAAGATAAGCCATAGAAACTCCACAAAGGCATTAATAGTTTCTTGGATTCACAGGCTGATCCACGATAGGAGGGAGGGCTTTCAGGCTGAAGTCTCTCCCCCCCCTCACCTCCCAAAAAAGGAAAATATAACCATGTTTTATGGAAAAAATAATCTCTTAAAGTATCAATTAGTGTAATTATATTTAATAGGACTTCAAGAATTACTTAAACACCAGTTCATACATATACATGAAAAAAAAGCTTTCGGGGTGAAGCCCCCTCTTACAAAATTAAATTCTGGATCCGCTTGTGCTTGGAGTGGGTGAAAGTATACATTGTCGACAACCGAAGACTGGTACTTTTAAGGAATTTGCGAGATCAGGAATTTTTCTTTTGCAACAAAACCAGAGACTCGACTTTCATTATATGATCATTTTGAGAAATATTTTTTTTAGTTTGCAATTGGTTTATATTTAACCGATAATATATATATATTTTGTTTGTTAACTTGTTTCTTGTACAATTTTTTTCTGAATTTTAAATTTACCCTTCGATCCAGGGATGCCCAGAAGGGGGTTTTGTGGTGCAAGTTGCGCCATCATAATTGATGAGGGAAGCACTTTTTGACGGGGTTTTTAATTTTTGAGTTGAGCACATTTCGATGGGGTTAAGAATTTTCAAATCAAAATGCAAGTGGAATCCTGGAAGAAGAGAATGATAAAATATGTTGGGGGTGATGGGCACGCCTGCTTCGATGATCCCAACAGATCATGCAATCTACGCGTTCGAATTATGAAGACGACAGGCCTGTATTATGTTGTATATGCTAATGAATATGTTTCGCCGATATGGCTTATACGTCGAATATATTAAGGAGGAGGATAGCTATCTAATGTGAGAGTTCTCACTTGGATATAATAGTTTTTAGGTTCTTCAAATTTTTGGATTTAAATCGAGTTTCGTTCCTACCTTACTGATAGATACTTTAAAGTAAATCACAAAAAAGCCTATTCATCCCTTTTTTCCCAGTCTGCTGGTGTTTCTCCAGGTAGTATCCTAGGTCCTATCCTCTATACAGTTTATACAGCTGACATCCCTACCTAACCCAACTCTGTTATCACCACACATGTATCTTATCAGTAAATAATGACCCATCAATTGCATCCCAAATGCTTCAATCACACATCATAAATGTTGAAGAATGTTGTCAAAACTGGAGAATTAAAATAAACTCCAATAAATCCCACCAAATTACCTTTACCCTTCGTCGTAAACCAATGACTTCCTTTCCTACAGTATCCTTTAACAATACTCCACTTATCCCTGTTGAGCAAATCCGCTACCTAGGACAAACGACTAACTTGGAATCCTCATACCAGACTGAAACGACAAGAAACCTCTCGACGTTTCCGATTACTTCAACACTTACTAGACAAACGCTCTAAACTTCGAATCAATTACAAAAGACTCATAAACAGGACTATAATAAGGCCTATTTGGACTTGGGGAATTGATCTATGGGACTCCACTAAACCATCGAATTCCTCTCGTATCCAATCCTTGCAATCAAAAATCCTTCGTAAAATCTTCAATGCTCCCTACTTTCTTACAAATAAAACCATCCATAATGACCTTAATGTTTCTTATGTTTCAGATCTGGCCCAATCCAGATACCTATCTTTCCATAATAAACTTCAGAATCATCCCAACCCTCTCGTTTCTAGCCTTGCTTCCTCTTCAATTCCTGATAACCCTCCGAGGCGTCTGAAACGATGGCCTATCATCTCCTAATTTAGACATATCATTAGAGTGCTACCATTGGGTAGTTACTCAGCAAGTGTTTTCACGTCATTATATCCATATGTTCAAATTTACTAGACGTATTTCTTTAATACAGTTGTAAATATCATTAAGAAATAATTTTTTTAAAAAATCGAGTTTTATATTGTTATTTTTCAATTCCGGATGAAGTATCAATAATATCATCAGCTGTTGGTATCTCATTTGTTATGTTTTTGAGTTAGGTATTTAGAAGATTTTTTTTCTCAATATTAAATAGACCCTGGAATGAGATAGACGAGAGCTGGGGCGGTGACCCGGGGTGGAGGAGATGCAGGAAGTAGGTCACTATACCAGGGGAGCTGGATCAATACTGGCTCGGGTCAGAGGAGAGAGATTGTGGTTGCCATGGCGACCCCTCCGCCCCCCCCCCCATCCTCTCTTCGCCCTCTTCTTAGTTTAGATTATCCCCTCTTCAAAATAGAACTGGAGTCTGCCATAATTGTTTACGGCTCTATATACTTACCTTCCACAATGAATAAAATAAGTCATATTGTAAAATTATCTTTGATGATCCTTTTGTACGTTCATCCTTCCACGACATGAGTCAGTCAGTCAGTCTCTTAATATGTCAGTTTACAGGTGTGTAAATTTTGCCTGTAAACAAGTCCATGTGTGCTTTAGTTACACACTCCTTTTTATCAAAATATTAACGTCCGCCTAAAAACTTCGTGAATATCTCCTGGTAGCCTAAAACTTTTTTTATTTACGAAAATTCTCAAAATTGAGGGCGTTTTCAATCTGAAGATCGACAAAGGTTTTGTCTATTCAATTAGGTACTAACGACTCACCAACACTTTCAATTAAATCGTAACATAATTGGGTCACAAAATCGAAGAAAAAAAGATGACCTACAAAGATATTGGAACCTCCACCCCCAACGTATCAAAATAACAAGGTTATATAGGTCAAACGGACCAATATTTTTGTAGGCTTCATTTCTTTTTCTTCCGAAATTGT